TTACGGTTTGGGTTTAGGGTTTAGGGTTTAGGGTTTAGGGTTTAGGGTTTAGGGTTTAGGGTTTAGGGTTTAGGGTTTAGGGTTTAGGGTTTAGGGTTTGTGGTTTAGGGTTTAGGGTTTGGGGTTTGGGGTTTGGGGTTTGGGGTTTAGGGTTTAGTCACCATCCCACTTGCAAACGGGTTTAGGGTTTAGGGTTTAGGGTTTAGGGTTTAGGATGATTTCTTGCCTCGGAAAATAGGGAAGATAGGGTTCGGGGGGATGGGAGGCCGGCTATAGACATGGTCTACTGAGCCAGCTCGGTCTGAGGGTCCCTGGTTCGAACCCGACCTGCAACTGAAAAGTCCGACGACGACGGTTTAGGGTTTAGGTTTTTAGGGTTTAGGGTTTAGGGTTTAGTCCCCAAGAATCCCCAGTCTCTCAACACGAACCAGGGACTCTCGGATATGGAGGTTTGCGATAATAGGGGTTCCTTACTCGGGACCCTACTATAAGGGGATCCTACTGTTTGGGGGTCTATATTTGGGGCCCCCCCCCCCCCCCTTTTGTCGTAAGCTCCCATATGGAGGGCATCATCTTGGCCTCAGCATGTGTTGCCGGCCCAGCCTCCAAGAGGGTTTAGGGTTTAGGGTTTAGGGTTAGGGTTTAGGGTTTCGGGTTTAGTGTTTAGGGTCTAGGGTCTAGGGTTTAGGGTTTAGGGTTTAGGGTTTAGGGCCAGCCCGACAGTGTCAGCTGTGGGGTCGGAATCTCAAGCCTGGAATAGATGGGTATGGTTCCTCTAAATTGGGGTCCCTTTTGGGGGGTCCTTATTATCAGGGTGCCGTACCATTTTGGACTCTAATTTTGAGAACCACTCAGATGATGATGATCGTCTAAGGGCAGCGGAGAGAATTGCTCTTTGGTGGAGGTGTAGAAACGAAATCCTGGAATGCAATCACCGGTCAGGGGGCTTGTGGAAAAGAAGAGCTGCGGGGCTCCAAAAGTGTGCAGGCCCTGTACATACCATGGGACCGCTTGGGATCTCGACACGAGACCTTGCTTGCCACAAGTGGCGACAACACCGGCCACAGCCCCACCTAAGCTGTGCCCCACAGCAATCACACAACAGCAATGCTGGAGGTACGGCTCCATTTGCTGGCTCCACTCTGTCCGGGCGACGTACCCTTCGTACTCATCCCAGAAGCCCTGCAGACGGCTTGCTTTGGTGATGGCCTGAAGATTGGCACAACCAAAGCTATTGTGGATTCGCTACGATCCTCGAGCCGCAACCGGGCGAGACGGAGCTTGTATTGTCACAGGAAGAGATGAGCACATTGTTGGTGTTGGTGAACCTTAAACCCTAAACCCTAAACCCTAAACCCTAAACCCTAACCCTAAACCCTCTTGCCCAAAAAGCGAGTTTTGCTGGCCACTCTGCCCAAAGTCGCTCTCACCGAAGCACTGTGCTTCGTAGCTCCAGTGCGAGTGACCCTCTGGATCCTAAACCCTAAACCCTCTACCCTAAACCCAAAAAACCCAAAAACCCTAAACCCCAAACCCGAAGCTCTCAATCTCAAAGCCCTATGCCCTATACACCCCTAGGGATGCTTGTCCGTAACCCCTAAACCCCTAAACCCCTAAACCCCTAAACCCCTAAACCCCTAAACCCCTAAACCCCTAAACCCCTAAACCCCTAAACCCCTAAACCCCTAAAGCCCCTAAGCCCCTAAACCCCTAAACCCGTAAGCCCCTAAACCCCTAAACCCCTAAGCCCCTAAACCCCTAAAACCCCTAAACCCCCTAAACCCCCTAAACGCCTAAACCCCTAAACCTCCTAAACCCCCAAACCCCTAAACCCCTAAACCCCTAAACCCCCTAAACCCCCTAAACCCCTAAACCCCTAAACCCCCTAAACCCCTAAACCCCTAAGCCCCTAAGCCCCCAAACCCCCTAAACCCCTAAACCCCTAAACCCCTAAAACCCCTAACCCCCTAAACCCCCTAAACCCCTAAACCCCTAAACCCCTAAACCCCTAAACCCCTAAACCATTTAAACCACTAAACCCCTAAAACCTAAGCCCGAAGCTCTCGGGGTGCAACAGGGTTGCGTGGCAGGTATGTCTACATGGAGGCGGACGCGCGAGAAGCTGAAGGGAAGCTGAAGGCTTCACAGATTTTGGGGTTTAGGGTTTTAGGGTTTCGGGTTCAGGGTTTCGGGTTTGGGGTTTAGGGTTTAAGGTCTGAGGGCCTTTGGGTCACTACTGCTTGCTGAAGAACCCCCCAAGAAAAATGAAAGATAGTAACCCCTCTATTGCCCTTATAGGGACGAATCTGTTGTCTTTCTTTTTTGGGCTCTTCAGCACATAGTGGGTCAGGTTTAGGAGTTTGGAGCAACAGCTCGGCAGTTCGAACGGGCCTGGATGCAAAAGAGCAAAGGTTAGAAGGAGCAGGCTCTCCCAAGCTCCCCGTTTACAGCCCATTTTAGGGTTTATAGGGGGTTTAGGGTTCAGGGTTTAGGGTTCAGGGTTCAGGGTTTAGGGTTTAGGGTTTAGGGTTTGCTTACGTGTTCTTACTTCTGGCCGGCCCGGCTGCTTCCCTGCCGGGACTCGCGACCGTTGCTTTGGCACGGAGACTGCCCCACAGTCCATGGGGCATTCCATCTACCGCTTCTTTAGCCCGGTGGTACCCTTTTTTTGCACTTTTTTTGGTTCAAGGTGCCCTTATAAAGTAGCCATCCAAAAAAAGGGGTACCCTTATTATCATCTGGTTACTGGGGTACCAAGACGGAGAACCATCAATTCTGCATCAGTTTCAGTCGGGATAGTGTGGGTCCGATTCACCCGAAACCCTAAACGCTAAACGCGAAATGGGAGGGCATTGGCATTTTTAAAGGGCTTCTTCGAGACCCGGTGCTCGAGAGAGCGAGCGTGCAAAAACGAACCAACGGTTTTAGGGTTTCGGGGTTTAGGGGTTTGGGGCATCAGGGGTTGGGGGTTAGGGTTTTTTGGTTTAGTGGGTTTTGGGTTTTAGGGGTTTAGAGGGGTTTAGGGGGGTTTAGGGGGGTTTAGGGGGGTTTAGGGGTTTAGGAGTGTAGGAGTTTAGGGGTTTAGGAGTTTAGGAGTTTAGGGGTTTGGTTTAGGGTTTCGGGTTTAGGGGTTTACAGCAGGGGTTTAGGGGTGTGGGATGTTCCCGATTACACCAACAGCTCCTTACTAGGGGGTATACTGGGGGATATTAGAATTTCTACTAAGGACTGTTCGTAAACGCGGGAACATCTCAACCCCCCAAACCCTCAAACCACCAAGCCCTCAAACCCTCAAACCCTGAAACCCTCAAACGCTAAACTCGAAAACCCTAAACCCCTCAAACCCTGAAACCCTGAAACCCTGCGAACCCTGAAAAGGCCGCGCGCTCCAAGCTCGCCAACGCGAAAACCTCGCAGCCCTTTGCAAGCATACCTGGGGGGGCCAAACGGGGTTTAGGGTTTGGGATTTAGGATTTGGGGTTTAGGGTGCAGGGTTTAGGGTTTAGGTTTCCTACCTGGCTACCGTGGCTTTCGGGGTTATGCCCTGTCCTTTTTTCTGGGGCACCCCAATATCCAAACCCTCACTATTCGTGTGGTCCAAGAGTTGTGGGGGTTGCTACCCCAGCCTCTTCCAGAGAAACATGTCCAAAACATCCCGAAACCCTTCATTTTCCCTTATGGGGTTTAAGAGCATCCTATCTTGGATTCTTTTTCAGAGGGTGTTGAGGGGCCAGCCCGGTACCCTTCTTTGAGAACGTCTAAGACTTCGCGGAAGAGGCGGTCTCGCCCCTCCCGCTTTAGGGTTTAGGATTTAGGGATTAGGGTTTCGGGTTGAGAGAGAGAGGTGTTTTCTTCTGATTCATCCTTTGTGCATATCTCGCAAAGTGCATGCCATCGGTGGATAGTGGCGCAGATGCAGCCTCTCTCCGTGAGTTGTTTAGGGTTTAGGGTTTAGGGTTTAGGGTTTAGGGTTTAGGGTTTAAGAAAACTCGTCCTACAAGCGCCGGGCTCAGGAAGGAGAACGCAAAGAAGAGCATGGTGCGCATGACGGCAGGCACGGGAGTTCGGGGACCGCCTCCGAACCTTAGGGTTTGGGGTTTAGGGTTTAGGGTTTAGGGTTTAGGGTTTAGGGTTTAGGGAGGTTTCGAGGCTTTTTGGGGTTCAGAGGGTTTATAGGCTTTATGGGGTTTATAGGGTTTATAGGGTTTAGAGGCCCCCTTGTTTTCGCAAGCCCCCATATGTACTTGCTTCCCTAAAGCCAAAAAAACCCTAAACCTTAAACCCTAAACCCTAAACCCTACGGCAGCCGCCGGCCAGGCGAAGATGAGGCGATGATGGCTCTAGTCCTCGGTGCGTGGACCAACTGGCTGGCGGAGTACCGCAAGAACAAGGAGCCCCCGAAAAGCCCTAAACCCCACAAACCCTAAACCCTAAACCCTAAACCCCACAAACCCTAAACCCTAAACCCTAAACCCGGAACCCTGAACCCTGAACCCTAAACCCTAAACCAGAAAGAAGCCGCACAAGAAAGGCCTAAACCAAGTTCCTGTGTGCCATGATCGCAATGTGAAACTGAGCCATACGCTCAGATGGAGCCATCGAGTTCACAGAGCACTAAGTGTAATGTTTAGGGTTTAGGGCCACACCAGAATGTAAGAGGAATCGCCTTAGAGTATCGGAAACCTCCATACTGAGTCATGGAGCCATTTGGAGTCCTCGAGTAGAAGATACATGGCGCATGATGGAAACAGAGCTCCTGTTAGCTTAAGACCCCCCAAGAAAAACAACGAACATATTTTCTTTATAAGGGCAGTAGGGATTATAATTTTTTGTTTGTTATTGCATTTGTTCATTTACTTTATCATGTTTTTTTTTTTTTTTTTGGGGGGGGGGGGGGTTCTCAGGCAAACAGTAGAGAGGGAAACAGAGTATTAGAACAATCTAAGAACGCAGCACGAAAGTGAGGTTTCGGGATTTGGGGCTCAAGGTTTGTGAGCGCTTTTTGGGTTTAAGGCCAAAGGCGGCCCACCACCTTCTACTTAAGGAAGATGTGCTCAAGGCCTGAGATCGTCCCTTGCATTGTCCCCTGCAGTGCGCGCGAGTGCTGGGCGGGCGGCAAGAAACAACCTGAACCCTAAACCCTAAACCCTAAACCCTAATCCCTAAACCCTAAACCCTAAACTCTAAACCCTAAACCTGTTCCCTCGACGATTCCTCTTACTTGTCAGTTAATGTTTGGGCAGCCTGGCCCTCGGTCTTAAGCGGAGGAGTTCGAAGACGCGGTGAAGGCCTCCGAAGCAAAAGTCCGGGAATACATGAAGAGGACCGGCTGGGGAGTATAAGGAGGGACGGAACTGTAGTGAAGGTTTAGGCAAAGGGGGGGGGTTAGGGTTTAGAGTTCAGGCGTGTAATTAAGGGCTGATAGGTTGGATTCCACGCCCCCCCCCCCCCCCC